AGCATCATATCCAGAGGTTGTCTTTGGGAAATAGACGTATGAGTGCTGCCAGCATTGCTGCAGAGGTTGAAGGGGTGGGGGGGTCAGCCTGTCAGTGCTCAGACCATACGCCGCACACTGCATCAAATTGGTCTGCATGGCTGTCATCCCAGAAGGAAACCTCTTCTAAAGATGATGCACAAGAAAGCCCGCAAACCGTTTGTTGAAGACAAGCTGACTAAGGACATGAATTACTGGAACCATGTCCTGTGTTCTGATGAGACCAAGACAAACGTATTTGGTACAGATGGTGTCAAGTGTGTCTGGCGGCAACCAGGTGAGGAGTACAAAGACAAGTTTGTCTTGCCTACAGTCAAGCATGTGGTGGGAGTGTCATGGTCTGGGGCTGCATGAGTGCTGCCAGCACTGGGGAGCTACAGATCATTGAGGGAGCCATGAATGCCAACATGTACTGTGATATACTGAAGCAGAACATGATCTCCTCCCTTCGGAGACTGGGCCGCAGGGCAGTATTCCAACATAATGAACCCAAACACACCTCCAAGACGACCACTGCCTTGCTAAAGAAGCTGAGGGTAAAGGTGATGGACTGGCCACGTATGTCTCCAGACCTAAACCCTATTGAGCATCTGTGGGGCATCCTCATATGGAAGGTGGAGGAGCGCAAGGTCTCTAACATCCACCAGCTCCATGATGTTGTCATGGAGGAGTGGAAGAGGACTCCAGTGGCAACCTGTGAAGCTCTGGTGAACTCCATGCCCAAGAGGGTTAAGTCAGTGCTGGAAAATAATAATGGCCACACAAAATATTGACACTTTCTGCCCAATTTGGACATTTTCACTTAGGGGTGTACTCACTTTTGTTGCCAGCGATGTAGACATTAATGGCTGTGTGTTGAGTTATTTTGAGGGGACAGCAAATTTACACTGTTATACAAGCTGTACACTCACTACTTTACATTGTAGCAAAGTGTCATTTCTTCAGTGTTGAAAAGATAGAATAAAATATTTACAAAAATGTGAGGGGTGTACTCCTGTGAGAAACTGTAGATCACCCAGAGGACAATGTGGCTTTTTTTTTTTTTTTTTTGGTTTTGTTTTTTTTTTTTCTTATCAAAAGCGGAGTTACTCTTTAAGGTACTTGATATCGTTGATACACTTAAGGGCCAAATCACACAGGTGCTTTACCTCATGACATGCTTAGTAATTCTGTTAGGTCTTTTGTAATTCATGTACCCTTTCACAGTGTATAGCAAAATGGCACTAATTTGTAGCTTAACCACTTGCCGGCTGGACGGTGGCAGTCCAGGGGCAGGTTGCCGTTCATAAACCGGTCCTGCCATTTTGGACTGTGCGCGCTCCCTGGGAGCACGCAGCACCGCGATCCGGTGCCCGCTGTGTCCTTTGGACAAAGTGGAACACTGATCGTCGTACGTGACCTCTCTACGAGGTCCCGATCATGTGATCACTGACTGGCCAATCAGTGATCACATGCAGAGTAGTAAGCAAGATGTCACTTGTGACATCATTGCTTACTACGTGTGAAATCTGTGAATGATCACAGAGGTCACATAGTACAAGGCTATTCACAACAGCCTTGTACCATGTGACAAGCTGTGACCAATCACTGCTCTCACAGTATTTCTCAATGGCTTCAAGAATGCTGCCAGAGAGAAGGAGAAATGATTGCTTTTGTAGCCTTTATGGATGTAAAAGCAACCAGTGTAAGGAAAAAAAAAAACCCCTCACGAGTGGTGCCCTGACACTGTACTGCTAGGATGACAGTATGTAAAGAGAAAAAAATATAAAAATGTAAAAAAAAAATTTTTTTCAATTATTTTTGGTTAGAAACTAATTTGGGTTATTTTTTTTTTTACTAAAAAGATAATACATTTTGGCCAAGATTTATGATGTAATATTATTTATTTACAATTTTATAAGAAAAACACTTTTTTCCAAATTTTTGGATTTTTTCATTTATATAGCAAAAAAAAAATAAAAATCCCAGTGGTAAATAAATACCACCAAAATAAAGCTTTATCTCAGAAAATGCAAAAAAAATTCATATGGGTACAGTGTTGCATGACCGCGCAATTGTCATTCAAAGTGTGATAGCGCTGAAAATTGGCCTGGACAGGAAAGGAGGTAAAAGTGTCCGGACTTGAAGTGGTTAAGCTGGTCATAGATGAACTGATTCTTGGCCAGTTCAGCAGGGCCCACCCGAGATTCGATCCATCTTTGGGCAGGCTAGTTGTACTGAAGTTGATCAATTGATTTGACTTCAGTACAACCAGCCTGTTGGATTTTTTACATGCAACTACTGCTGGTGGCTATAGCTGCCAGCAGTAATCACTGTATTCTGCTGACAGGGAAGGCTCACTACTGGCAGAACATAATAGCGCTGCGTGCGGGATTTCCCCATCAACTCTGACTGTGATGGGGGAATCGAGCAATTTTCTTTAGGTTGCAGGGGAAAAAATTGCATCATCTGTTTGCTTTACTTATTGGACTATGACTGAAGAGCATCCTTCCTTTAAGTTTGCCTAAACCAAACCGCTTCAGTTGCTTATGTCTGCAAAATAGAGAATAAAGCCCAACTCACTGCTCTACTGGTGCTTTCACCTCTTTGGCAGTTACACTATCCGTATTTAAAGTGAATCTGAAATGCCCTATTAGGTCTCCTGAGCAAGATGAAAAGTCTAGTCGTGGCAATCTTGCAGGTGCTAGACCTGTGCTGCTCTCTTGCTTTGGTTACATCAAAATCTGAATGATTCGAATAGATAATGGTTGTTATCAACTATTATGCTGAGTGGAGTCTTGGAATCAGAGTAAGGTGTGACCTGAGGTTTTTAAGTGTTCTTGCATGGCAAGACCACTTACTGTTATCTCACATATATATTCTTATTTTTATAGCCAAATTTACCACCCTAACTCCTCCCACAGATTTTACACTACATAGACAGTAATATACTGAAACGTGTGGATTGTTCCCGATTGGTGTACTATTACTTTGTGGAACGTTTCCCCGAATGGTTCACGAAATATCAGTGTTTTTGTGGTGACATTGGTCCCATAGGAATGAATGGGGCAATGTTAAAAAACTAGAGTGAGAGCTGACAAAAGCTAGAGTGTGAGATGAAAAATCAGGACATGATTTGTAAACTGCCATCACTCCCTCATTTTCAAGCCCACCTACACAAATCTTATATCAAAACGTTCAGCTATCCCTGCTGCCACTAAAAATGTCCATGACTAAGCCAGAGTCCTAATAGTTTTCGCAATATGACCATTTGTTTGCAACTCACGCCGCCCATTGACATTCATTGAAACTCCACTCTAGCCACCTCAGATTTGAAGGTCAATTTCTAAACTGCGATTGTGCCTTCATTTTTAATATTTCCGAAAAATACTATGCATCAAAATGTAGGTCTGGGTCTAGTGATTCTCGCAATATAGCTCTTCAGTGTAGGATTTAGAATTTTAAAACTACAACAGTTTGAAGATGGCAACCGCCAGTGAAGTGAGCAAGTTGGAGCAGTTTGTTTTTAACCGCTGTAGAGTGAGTTGCCATAGGAACCCAGGTGTGTGAGCAGGCAGCAGAGTGGAGGCAAGAACACCTCACACAATTTCTCCAGAAATTGTAGCTTTTCTAGTTTCTTAAGCAGTTACATATTAGGAGAACAAGGGTGACAGTTTACCACTGAGTCCTTTCACACCATACTGCACATATAGTGCAATGAAAATCATGTGTGCTAACATGCATTTTTATGCATTAATGTGTGTTGCAGTGTGAACAAAGGGCATAGGAAGCCATGTTTTTCCATGTGACCTTGCAGTGACCTGTGTTTTAGCTGGTGCCAAAAAATGCAGGTCGCTGGGCATGGCGTGAATAAACCCTTAATTGTACCATCAGGGTTTAAAGTATTAATTTGCAAAATTGGCCTTCTACTTTTTCCTTGCAGCCAAGCGTACCGTAGCCAAGTCCTGGAAGAAACCTACAATCTCATTTGCACCCAAGATCCATGCCTGCTGGTTTCTTCCCCTCCTTTTTTTTTTTTTTTCTTTTTTTTTTCTTTATACTCTTCTTGCTTTGCATTTACACCTTCTCCAATCTTTCTGGTTCCTTCTTTTCTTCCACATTTGATTTGACAGTTGGGTCTTTTGACTCAGTGGTTTAGTCCAGGGGTATCCAAACTATAGCCCTCTAGTTGTTGAGGAACTTCAAGTCCCATGAGGCCTTGTAGGAGTCTTGCCTGTTGCTGTCAAGAGTCTTACAAGGCCTCATGGAACTTGAAGTTCCTCAACACCTGGAGGGCCATTGTTTGGAGACTCCTGGTTTAGTCCAACGGCCTGTGCCGTATAGCTGACTTGCACAATCTGTAACATTGTTTACTACACTGTCATATATGGACCACCTTTTTTTGACAATTGTTATGTGAGGGTGTATGCTGTTTCTGTCTACATTTGACTATACAGGGCCCCCTGTGTGGACGACTCTTGCATTGTATTTTTTTTTAAACTTTCCATAAAAATTATTATACCAGAGAGTATCCGTTTGCCTGCATGTGCCTGTATTAAGGCTCGTTCACACTAAGCTGCACTGTGGTAACACATGTACTGCAGCATGCTTTACTGGAATTACCGGTAAGAGTAATTAGTGTTTTAATTGTATAGTACAGGATACAGATGTCTTGTACTCATACACTATATTGCCTAAAGTATTGGGGCACTCCCTCCAAGTCATTGGATTCAGGTGTCCCAATCACCTCCATGGCCACAGGTGTATAAAATCAAGCGCCTAGGCATGCAGACTGCTTCTACAAACATTTCTGAAAGAATGGTCCACTCTCAGGAGCTCAGTGAATTCAAGCGTGGTACCGTGATAAGTTGCCACCTGTGCAAGAAGTCTGTCAGCGAAATTTCCTTGCTACTAAATATTACACAGTTAGTGGTATTATAACAAAGTGGAAGTAACTGAGAACAGCAACTCGGCCACGTAAAAAGACATGCTGAAGCGCACAGTGTGCAGAAGTCGCCAACGTTCTGCAGAGTCAATAGCTAAAGACCTCCAAACTTCATGTGGCCTTCAGATTAGCACAACAACCCTGCATAGAGGGCTTCATGGAATGGGTTTCCATGGCCGAGCAGCTGTATCCAATCTTTACATTAGGGATGCATCGAAATTTCGGCCACCGAAACATACCTGCCGAAAATAGCCCTTATGGCATTTTGCCGGTACAGGAGACTGTGTGTACTGCAGATGTGAGGGGGCGGCTGAGAAAGGCAGGAGAGGAGCAGTGTATACAGTGACTGGTTGTCACTATATGTTAGTGCCGGTTTTTACATGTAATTGCCGGCTTTTTTTTTTTTCTTCACTATAGCTCGCAGAATTCGCTGTCACTTTCCCCCCAGCTAAAAGAAACAAAGTTTCCTTTTAGTTTAGTTTATTTCCCTGAGTTAAAAGAAACAGTTTCCTTTAGCTCTGGGGAGAGCGACAGCTAATTCTGTGAGCGATAGTGAAGAAAAATAAAAAAGATGGCAACTGACATATAGGGGTTTATTTACTAAAGCTGGAGAGTCCAAAATCAGACTCCCTTCTGCATAGAAACCAATCAGCTTCTAACCTCAGCTTGTTCAATGAATCTTTGGCAATGAGACCTGGAAGCTGATTGGTTTCTATGCAGAAGGGAGTCTGATTTTTGGACTCTCCAGCTTTACTAAATAAACCCCAGAGTGACAGCCAGTGAGGGAGCCTCTCTGTATACACTGCTCCCTCACTGTATACACTGCTCCTCTCCTGCACCCTCCTTGCTTACACACTGCCTACCCCTTCCCCCTGCAAAGAGGACATGTTCTCATATGCTATCACCTAGGGGACTATTGGTCCCCTAGGTGATAGCAATAAAATCATAAGTTTAAATAAAATATACATGAAAGTAGAAAAAAAAATTGGAGCCTCCCCCACCCTCACATACGCAGACATTTCAGTTTCAGTTCAGTTTTCGGGCACATGCATTCTGAATTTTTGTTATCAGTTTCGGCCCCAGAATTTTCATTTCAGTGCTCCACTACTTTACATCACCAAGTGAAATGCAAAGCATCGGATGCAGTGGTGTAAAGCACGCCACCACTGGACTCTAGAGCAGTGGAGATGTATTCTCTGGAGTGATGAATCACCCTTTTCTATCTGGCAATCAAATGGACGTGTCTGGGTTTGGCGGTTGCCAGGTGAACGGTACTTGCCTGACTGCATTGTGCCAAGTGTAAAGTTTGGTAGAGGGGAGATTATGGTGTGGGGTTGGGCTTGGTTCTTTAGTTCCAGTGAAGGAATCTCTTAAGGTGTCAGCATAACAAGACATTTTGGACAATTTCATGCTTTCAACTTTGTGGGAACAGTTTGGGGATGGCCCCTTCGTGTTCCAGCATGACTGCGTATCCGTGCACAAAGCAAGGTCCATAAAGACATGGATGAGCGAGTTTGGGGTGGAGGAACCTGACTGGCTTGCACAGAGTCCTGACCTCAACCTGATAGAACACCTTTGGTATGAATTAGAGAGGAGACTGGGAGCCAGGCCTTCTCATCTGACATCAGTGCCTGACCTCACAAATGCGCTTCTGGAAGCATGGTCAAACATTCCCATAGACACACTCCTAAACCTTGTGGACAGCCTTCCCAGACGACGTGAAGCTGTTATAGCTGCAAAGGATGGACCAACTCAATATTGAACCCTATGGACTAAGACTGGGATGCCATTAAATTTCATGTGTGTAAAGGCAGGCGTCCCAATACTTTTGGCAATTTAGTGCAGATTATTCATAGATTTGCTTTATATTTATAGGCTATAGATTATATGCAGGCTACCTTCGAGTGATTGGACATGACAAAAAAATTTGCTAGGGCTGTCCCATTCATTTTGTTTTGCTAGTCTCCTTAGGTGAAGGACCTGTTTCCTCTGGGGCAGTAGTTTTTCTTTTTAAACCATAATTTTTTTCTCTAATGCTTTTTTTTTTTTTTTTTAGATCTGACTTGCTTTTTGCTGCACTAGGTGCTCAGATTGGCATGTAGTGCAACGTGTGTAGTTAGCTGCAGGGTGCTGTCCAGGTCCATGTTGAAGTTCTAATGTTCCCAGCCACCATCATGCACAGTGCCTGGACCTCTAGTTGGCCCAGCATTGTGAATAAGGTAAGACAGGGATTCCCTTTAAATTGGCATGGGTTCTTGATGTTTTAGACCACAATCTGTGGGGCGTAGCACACTACACCCTTTTATATGCAGAAGATTTTGGAGGCGTTTACTTTATCGTGGTAACCTTCCTTAGCCATTTCTTTATCGTACATCCCAGAACACATGGTATCTTCATATCCATTATGATAGGCTAATGCTGCCGCCTTCAGGTGACTGCCTGTAACATTGCTGTTCAGCACTGGACTCTGTAACGGTCCCCTGTGCAATGGTATATTGTCTTTTGAGCTAGAGTTATATACAGGTCCAGGGCAGTGATCCTCAGCTGGGGAGTCTTGTTCCCTAAAGGCCTTTGTGGCATTGGTCCACCAAGGTGGATGAAGTTTGGCCTCTGAAATTTTGACCTGCAGTGTTGAATGGTGAGTGCTCTGGTGGTAGCCGTATCTGCTAGTAACTTTTTTCCTTCTGACCTCTTTATCTGCAGAGCACTTGTTCCCCCCCCCGATCACTGGCACAGGAGGTGTACTCTCTCCCATTGTAAGGGTGCAGCCCATTGGTGTTCTCATTGTGTCACATCAGCTGACTTTGGTCTGCTGGTTTAGCAAGGATACATTAATAATTTGGTGGCTGGCCATGTCTCAGCAACAGGAAGTGGGGGGGGGGGGGGGGGGGGGGGGCACGCAATCAGTCACAGGGAATTTCCTGAAGTTAACTCTAACTGCACTGTATCCCCCTAGGGGGCAGTTCCATGCATCTCCGACTTCTTCCGCCTGTCTGGTCTTTCCACTATCTCGGGGGTAACTCCCTGTTCCTTTGCGCCCAGAGGTCCTGACCAATTTGAAATTACTGCTTCCAGAAGGAGTCATCTGTCCCAAAGGTTACTAGATTGGGATCATGGCTTCTACTGTAGCATCCTTAGTCTTTACCTGTACATCCTCATTTAAAGTACTAGGCTCACCCTGAAAAGATGTTCAATCTGCCAAAATGATTTGCTCACCAATATCCTGTGGAAAGTGAGTTTACTACGACAGGGCTTGACAAATTCCAGGTCACCATGGCGACCAGAAATTGTGACCTGGCACTTGGGCACTGGTCAGCCCACTCACCCCCGGCATCTCCCACTGCTGTATGCCCCGGACATGCAGCTCTGGACGCTGGGCAAACAATCCTTCTCTCTCCCTCTTGCTGGTCTCTATAGTTTTCCCTGAAAGCAGGCAGTAGGCTGGGCTGGAGTCTGATGTCCGGCTGTCAGGCCTGGTGTGAATGACAGTTGGGGTGGCCGTGCTTCTCTCCTCAAGCGGCCATTATCCCCTTCCCCAGTGCCCGAGCAGGGTCCGAGGATGAGCCAGCTCTGTTGGCTCTTCTGCTGCCTGCTGTGCTATAGGCACATCTGTGCCAAGCTGGCCTTGCTCCCACCGGAGCTCACCTGGTGCGCACACAGTGACCGGAAACCACATCCCAGCACCTGGCCTTCCACCAGCCCACTCACCGCCACCACCAGCCCACTCACCGCCACCACCAGGCGCAAGCAATTCCCATTGCCCAACGCCCCAGACATGCAGCTTTCCCACAGCAATGCCAAAGTTTCTCTTCTCCACACACTGGCACCCCTGTGGAGACCCACCGTTGCCATGCAGAAGGACTCCCCTCTTCTTGACACCAGCCAGTCTGCATACCGTGGCCCACCCCTTCTCCTCGCCGCCAGTTCCCACACGTTGCGCTGGAGGCAAGCAGAGCCCAGCCCACACAGCATGCCACACACACATCAAAAACCTTGGCTCAAGTCCCCTCCATGCAAAAATTCAAAATCTGCCATCTCCGTCATTGAAAATAAAAGCCGTTGGTCAAAAAAAAAAACAAACTTGCTCTTAAATTTTGTAGCTGGCTGCTAGATTCAAAGCAAATTTGTCAAGCCCTGCAGTGGATCCAGCCATTTTCCTATCTAATAAGACCCTTGCGGTTCCAGGGGACAAGGCTTGTATTGTCCCCTAGACAAACATCTGGAGACCTTATTTAAAGTATCCTTTGCTTTTGTGGGCAGCCTTAAAACTTGCAGATGTTCTTGTAAACATGTCAGAGCCTCAAGGTTTGGGTGAGAGCTAGACCTTGACCACTGGAATAATGAGTTGGTCAGATACCTGGTGGATTTTCTGTGTACTTTTAGTTTCTTGTTTGACACATTAATGACCTCCATCTGACACAATCTTATTGCTGAGATTTTGCCTATTGCTGAGATTTTGCTTAGCGGAGTTGGCTTGTAAGAAGCAGATTGTATGCTTACCAGGATGGAATTGATTTAAATCGTTAGTGAAAAGGTGCGATTTTAAATCATAATTTTTAAAGGGCATTTGTAATCTCTGTCCTGCAGTAGCTCCTCCTTTGACCCGATGCTGACTCACCGACAGTCCCATTCACTTTAATGGGACGGCTGGTGATGTGGCAGTTACACAACAAGGTGAGGGACGTGGCGGCATCAGGTGAGTGGATGCCCGCTAACAGGTGCTGCCATGATGGATCTAAAATGACAGGTGCTCTTTAAATGTAAGGAATTGCTCATTCTTGCCGGTAGTTAAGTGTTCTTGCAAGAACACTTATTGTTATCTCACAAATATATTCTTCTTATTGCTAAATTTAACACGCTAACTCCTCCCACAGTTTTTTACACTACAAAGGCAAGTAATATATCAAAACGTGTGGATTGTTCCCGATTGGATTGCTGTTACTTTGTGGAACGTTTCGCCAAATGGTTCACGAAATATTGCGGTTTTTGTGGTGAAATTTTCCCAGAGGAATGAATGGAGCAACTTCAGTGGGAGCTGACAAAGCTAGAGTGTGAAAGGAAAAATCAGGACATGATTTCTAAACTGCCATCACTCCCTCATTTTCAAGCCCACCTACACAAATCTTATATCTAAACATTCAGCTAACCCCGCTGCCACTAAAAATGTTCACGGCTAAGCCATAGTCCTGATAGTTTTCACAATATGACCATTTGTTTGCAATTCACACCGCCCATTGACATTCATTGAAACTCCACTCTAGGTAAACACCTGAAATTTGAAAGGTAATTTCTAAACTGCGACTGTGCCTTCATTTTTAATATTTCAGAGACATGCTATACATCAAAATGTAGGTCTGTGATTCTCATAATATAAAGCTCTTCGCTGTAGGATTTATAGTTTTAAAACTGCAACCGTTTGAAGATGGCAACTGCCAGTGAAGTGAGCAAGTTGGAGCAGTTTGTTTATAACCGCTCCTCTGCTCTTGCTGTAGAGTGAGTTGCCATAGGAACCCAGGTCTCAGAGCAGGCAGCAGAGTGACAAAAGCTAGAGTGTGAGCTGAAAAATAAAAGTTGAAATGCATTTCTCACTCTTATCGAGCTTGCCATGTGCACTTTTTAAATTTGATCAATCAATTGGTTAGTGTAATGTTTACTATCTTTACTCACTCCAAACACTCCACCCAGTTACTCCGCCCACTCCAGTCGTAGAGACTACTGGTGGAAGCAAGAACACTTCACACAATTTCCCCAGAAATTGTAGCTTTTCTAGTTATTATTGTTATACAGGATTTAGTCAGAATCTTTAATATTCACAATTCAAATGAAGGTTTCCTTTCAGAATATTAAGCTGTCAGGTTAGTAAAACAGCGATATCAGAACCGATTTTAGGTTAATAGGTTAATCACACATAGTTGGAGAGCTACTCAAATTCTCTTATTTCATGTATTCTCTCATGTTTACTGTGAAATTGTGTGACTGCGTCAATGCAGTGCATGTTATCTCAGCTTGCAGAGCTTGGATTCATTGAGTTTACCAAAATATAAATATTGCAGAATATACAGCCTCATGCTACATACCTAAGCTCCATTTCATGCTGAATAGTCAAAATTTTTAATGTATCTTAAATAGAAAACTATCTTTAGATGGATGATAGTGCTATAATTACAAAATCAAAAAGGTGGCTATGAGCAAGAGTACCATGTTTCTGCTTTAAAACAAAAAAAGTCAGTCTGTTTATAAAATCTGCCGTGCCTTCCAGAAAGTGTTCTTTTTGCAAACCACAACCTTTGTCTCTAATCCCAAGCCCCACGCCAATTTCTACAAAAAGTCATAGTTCCCAAATCCCTCTAAGCTAGGAGATATTGTTGTGGCTCCCCCACTTGCTTGGGTGTGGGACATTTGCGGGCCACTTTAAAAGAAGTATATGCTGCATCTGTCCCCCCACTGGCTCTAGTGTGAGAACTCGGCGATCATATGATCGCTGAGTTCTTACAGCTGCTCTGAGCGGAGAGCAGTGACTGCCAGTGCAATAGTTTGCAGTTCAGAAATGACTTAACTATTCACTTCTTTTGTGAGGGTCTTAGGACTGATGATGGCCTTTTTTTTTTTTTTTTTTTTTTTTTTTTTTTTTTTTTTTTTTTTTTTTGAGGCAGTACCATATGATCAGTTTCATTCCAGTTGGCTGCAATTCGATATTTAGGCTGAGTGGGACAAGCAGTGTGTTTCTGGATCATCCCATTTGCCTGATTGGCAGAACAAGGCTTTCTCTGGCATGATGGCAAGTCTCCTCTTCCAGCAAGTCTCCTCTTCCAGCGTCTTGGAGGGTTCTGGGCTGCAGCGGAGTCCTGGAGGACTTTTTGGTTTACAGGAGACGCTAGACCTCTTTGGTGCAACGCAACCCAAACAGGATTCAGCCAGGCAAAATCACAGTGGTATCTTACATCACCCATCAAGGAGGCACAAGTAGTTGCACAACTCAAAGATGCCAAATCATTCTAGTTTGGGTGGAATGCCACATTTCTTGTACGTGATGTACTTTCCATCACGAAAAATTGGCAAGTGTATCTCTGTCATCAGTGTCTGGCCTTAGTGGAATTGTCTCTTCACCTAGAGTTCTCTTGCAACTTCTGTCTCAAATGGGGGACACCAGATGTAGATGTTCTGGTGTCTAGGCTGAACAACAAACTAAACAGGTTTGCTGCCAGGACCAGGAATCCTTGGGCCTTTGCAGTAGATCCATTTTTAATATATAGAGTAAGCACACCGCATAGCAAGAATGCTTTTACAATAAAGCTGTGTTCAGTATATATACACTATTATTACCAAGTATTATATCCAAGTATGTAATTTTACATCGGACATAATGCACAAAGTTAATTCCAATCAATATCTAAAACTAAGTGAGCATTGCTTAGTCACATAGTTGATGGTCATTAATACATACAGAAATTTCATACCCAGAATAGCATGATGAGAAAAAGAACAGCGCCAGACCATGGTGAAAACAGAAAGGAGGAGGAATTCTGCTTCTCAGATGCTGGCTTTAATGGCTTGGCAAGGAGTCTCCCAAGAGCAGTCATCTTTACTCCTAAATGCTGAAATAAACTACTCACAAATTATACCATTGCAAAGGTCTACTTTTGGAAGGAAGACAAAATTTGTCCCAAGGAGTACTTCCTGGGGTAGAATTTCCTTGCACCGGACAGTCTGGTCCAGATCAGAATTTGGCTATAAAGTGTTACTAAACCCAGGGCCCTGCATTCACTATATCTTGTCCCGTACAGTACATAAAACATGGAAATGCGATTATTTTAGTAAATATAAACTTTTAAATACCTTTTCTCATGAGCAGTTTAAAGCAGTCTTGTGACTTCTATCAGTGTCCAGCAGAGCACATGTTAACGCTTGTAGGAGGAGTTTTCATTTTGCTGTTGGAGGATGCTGAACTCCTGACCTCTGTCTGGACAGTGCTGATTACAGGCACTCACCCAAGGAAAAAAAACCCTGTGATACACACCAAACTGAGCATGTGCAGAGTGACTCCACACCATATGTCTTATCAGGAGATAAGGGAGGGGAGGATCAGAGAAGTCAGGATCAAACAGCATTTTTACATAATGCAGAGGATTAACCCCTTAGGTTCCACAGTGAGTATAACAAGCATGCTTTACTGCATATACAGACTGATTTTACTGTTGTGGGTTTAGTAACACTTTAAAATATAAGTAAACTCTCACCTTGTAAAAAACAACCCATTCAGTTTAAAATAGAAATGAAAGGCAAAACATCTGTATATAGAGGAAAAAAACACAAATCGCTTTTCCCCTCCTTTTTTTTATTTTTTTTTTAAGTAATCGCATTCTCTCTGCTCTCAGCTACATAAGAGCTGGGGGATGAGAAACAACATTACACTGGTCAAACCCCCCAAACATGATATACTTTCTGAAAGCAGACACCTTAGAGAATAAAAGTGGTAGTTCCAATTTTTTGTCGCATGATATTACCACAAAAGTTCAGTAAAAAATATAAATAAGTTAACTTTAGGGAACAAAAAAGCAATAAATTACCCTATTTTTTGTAAAGTATAAAAGATGCAGTGAATAAATGGATATCCAACATGTCAAACTTTAAATTTGCGTGCACTCGTGAAATGGCGACGAACTTCAGTACCCTATATTTTCTATAGGTGACACTTTTAAATCCCCTCATAGGTCATCAGAATAGTGTTACAGAGGAGGTCTGGTGCAAGAATTATTGCTCTCATTGTGGCGTGAACAGCGATATGTGACGTGTATTGCAGTTGACATTTTCATGTGAAGGCGCCCCAGCGTGTGCTTTTACATTCTTGCGTATATGTGGGGTTGGTGGGGCTGCTTCTATTTTTGTTTTGGTGGGGGGGGGGGGGGGCGCGGATGTTATGTGTTTGGGTGTAACTTTCATTTTTTACAATTTAAAAAAACAACTTTTTTTTTACTTTTTTTTTTTTTCTTCCCATCACATAGGGGACAAAGTCCTCTGTGATTTTTGGTGACAGGTTATCTTTATTGAGACATCCAAGGTCTTAAAAGACTCCCCTGTGCTCCACTGAATGTAATTCAGTGCACATCACACTGCATTACATTCTTTCCTGGCCTCCATGGCCGGGAATCTCTCAAAGGGGACCCGGAAGTGACATCTGTGTGGCACTGACCAATGAGTGTTTATTCTTTCTTCCAAGACAAGAGACTCTCATTGGTCACTATCTAGGACACTAGCAAAGGCATGCTTCTATAAGGAGAAGCTGGCCTATATTTTTTTACGTTTTTAATGCAGGGATCTGCTTAATTTATAATATTGACTAATGCAGTATTTTTATGTATCTAAAATTTCACAGGTAAAACCTCAAGAAGTATTCTTTCTTATAGTTACAGGATAATGACTCTAGTAAATAAAGCTAAAATGTAGGAAGTGGACTACAAGTGCACTGATAAACACGCTTGCAGTTTCATACGGGACTTGTAGTTCATTCATTCACGAATCTCTGTGAATCTCTGCCCATACAGCCATGCCAGTTTTAAATGTGACAGTAGCTGCAGGGGAGAGGAACCGCTGTCTCAGGGGAAGGGTTGAGGGAAACGTGCTGGAACCATGTTACATCCTAATTACAGGTGTAATGTGTTCCAAAGATTAACCTATCCGTTAAAGGCCTATTTACACTTGTCTGTTTAATGCAGCAAAACTCATGCATGCTGCATGAAAATGCACTTAATATAAAATCCCTTTCTTATGTGACTGGTTCCACATGTATGCATTAGTTGAGTGAAAGATGAAACTAGATTCACACAGTTATGTGTGAATTCATCCCAGCTTTAATGAGCCAATACTAATCCATGTCTCCGTGATTATGGTACTCTCTGTGACAGCAGTGCAGATCCTGCACTGGTTTTCCAGACATACAATAAAAGGTGTGTTCCTAGATCATCAGACATACAGACAAAAGGTCAGATTATATACTACAGTGGTATGTATAAATGAGAAACAAAATATTGATCAGAGAGTATATACCCCTATATGTATTTTTTGTTTTCGTTCTAAGTGTTCCTTTCAACTTGCTAGCATGTGGTATTTTGTTGCTGTGGTTTACTAAACTTTGCACATCCTCATTCCTTTGTGCTACTGTATTATTTACCCTATCTTCAGTGGAAAGCAGAAGTCAAATAAATCTTACAACATTATCTTTATCAATCACACAGATGTTTACTCATTTGAGGTGAAAAAGAAATCAGGCATGTGAACATGTGGGGCTTTAGCACAATCAGAGTTGTGACAATGGACTGGTGCATAAAAGCATGTTGATTGCTGTACAAAAGGTTTAAGTAAAATATACCCTCACACGTTTTACTGGAGACTAGGATAATGATGCCACCTGTTGGTACTTTTTCACCGAATAGGCTAAATAAAATTGTTAAAACAAACGTTTTTGTTGAAATGTGTATTTCTATTTATAGTGTAAATCTTATAATCCACAGGCAAAAGAAATCCTAACAAAAGAGTCAAATGTTCAAGATGTAAGATGTCCTGTAACAGTTTGCGGAGATGTGCATGGCCAGTTTCATGATCTCATGGAGCTCTTCAGAATTGGAGGGAAATCTCCAGATACCAACTATTTGTTCATGGGAGACTATGTGGACAGAGGGTATTACTCTGTGGAAACAGTGACTCTTCTTGTAGCATTAAAGGTAAGAAAATGCCTTTATTCTTCAGACATTACTTATTTTACTGTGTAAAGTACAGGTGTATGTATGTGCTAAAAACCATGTTTCTATGGCCAAGCAACTGCATCCCTGCCTTCCATCACCAAGCACAATGCAGAGGGTCAGATGCAGTGGTGTAAAGCCAATGGACACTAGAGTCCTGACCTGAACCCAGTAGAATACCTTTGGGGTGAATTAGAGTGGAGACTGCAAGCCAGGTCTTCTTGTCCGACATCAGTGCCTGACCTCACAAATGCGCTTCCGGAAGAGTGTTCAAACATTCCCACAAACACACTCCTAAACCTTGTGGACAGCCTTCCCAGAAGAATTGAAGCTGTTATAGCTGCAAAGGGTGGGTCAACTCAGTATCAAACCCTACGGACTAAGACTGGGATGTCATTAAAGTTCATGTGTGCGTAAAGGCAGGTGTTCAAATACTTTTGGCAATATAGTGTAGTTTCTTGTTCTCACCTGGGTTGGGCAGTATTTTTATCCATTTTTCTTGTCCATTAAGAAGGGATATGGGAAGTCTTAAACCTTTGGGTTATTCTGTAGTCTAGTCTACAGGTGGATTGAACACTGACTAACAAAATTTAGGCCAGCCTAGGGAAGATCACCTCCTACTACTGGCATACCTCAGTTTTTTTGCTAGCGTGTTTTTTTTCTTTTACTGGCGTTTTCTCCACTGACTTCCAGCTACCCAGGGCGGCTGTGTTTAGCCTGGCCTTTGGACTGTACCACCTTCCTAGGCATTCCTAATGCCTGATTGCAAGAGGTGGTATTTTAGGGCTATAAAGTGAAGTTTTGTTCCTTGCCCCCTACTTGGTCTCTGACATAAAATCTCCCTATTTCTCCTCCGTGACCATCCGATCTCCATTTGGCACTCTGGACTTCTGAACCAAGGGCTCATAGCCCCAGTTCTAAACACTGAACTGTTTTGGGAGTTTTACTCCAGCTTATTTTACTGTGCTAAAACCCAAAGGGACCACTCAGCCCATCTTGGACCTTAAGTCTCCGTTCACATATCGCACATAGCATTCCCACTCCCTATTTTTGTTGTGTGATTATTTATTTTTTAATTATATGATTTCATGTGTCATGCATAGGGCAGTCTATTCATTTTAGTAGGCTGCCCTTTGTGCTTTTGTCACCCAGAAGAAACTCTTGCTCCCTTTTGGGCAACATGCATGTTGCTGTGATTGCTCTGCAGCAATCGCAGTAGATTTGCACCACATTTGAGGGTGCCATTAAGAATAATGGCACCTAAACACACTTCCTGCATTTTGACAAGATTTGTAATCCTGGGCAGAATCTCAGCAATTCTACCTGTAAATCCAAATGGCATAATGTGAATGAGGTCTAAGGGTCTGAATGTCTACATTCTTCCCTAAAAATAAGTGATGGAATCTGTCAGATCTGTTTCTTCGTTTCCAGGCTTGGGTGCAGGGAACTTGGTTATCAAAGAAATTCTTTGTTGCAAATTGGGGCCTCTTCAACTTTCTGCAGGGAAAAGCAACAGTATCTGATTTGACTATATTGGCGTTTGAAAGACTTAAAATTAAGGACCTACTTGGGTACCTCTTTGGAAGCTTTTATTCCATCCTGTACCCACAAACCCAGGGGCAGTACTGTTTGTTGCTGAGGCATTTCCTTCTCCCTCCTATTTTGACAAGTTAATTTGCTAAAAATGGGAACGTCATAAATGGTCTTTTGTTTTACCTAAAAATGTTCTTGGTTTGTTACCCTTTTGAAGAGGAATTCCTTAAAAATAGACCTCCCCATCTCTTGTGGATAAACCAGAGTCTAGGCTGATTAAGGCCGATTCCTACTTGAGTAATCTTCTTCCATCAAGGAACAGGCCGACAGGATGGCAAAATTGGTTGCATGTTCCATGTATGTCATAGGTCGCAGGGCTGATGCACCAATCTTGTCCACAGAGCTGATGTTCAAATGCATGTGGAATAGGTAAATCTTTTGCACCAAGGGTTAGATAATGAACCCTTGTATCCCCTGTATATGTGAAGTTGGCAGACCCCTGTGTATTGCCTCGCTGGATGTTGCACCATTGGTATCCAGGCTGTATCTTGCTGGTCGTTGGCAGACTAGACTTCAAAGAGGAGGTTTACAGAGCTGCCATTTAGAATGGTTGGCTCTTTGGCGCAATGCTGGATGACATCAATAAAAGCCTAATGAGAAGTTAAAGCACCTTTTCTGCCTTGACTTACAAAAATGCAAAGAAACATGTTGCAAACATGTCTCTGGCAACGCAACTAAACCAAGCCACAAACAAATCTCTTTTTAGCAGGGAGTCATAACTCTATTTTCCTTCAGAGAAATAAAGGGTAAGTCTATTCCAAAAGTAAAACAAAGGATAGGGTTTGGCAAATTTCTGACCTAAAGACATTCGATTCCTGTATAGGGGTCTGAAAATTTAAGATGGGATAAATTCGGTGCAGTAGTGTCTCCATCAAGGAGATTTTGTGGCATCCTTAGACATGCCCCAATTTGTATATGGCACCACTAGTTTCTACATTTTGCAATAGATGAACACGCTCCAGTTTGTGGTGCTCCTGTCCAGCCTTGACTTTCCTAGCAAGGTGCTAACCTTGATCCTAGCACTACTGAGACAATGCTGGGTTTCTGTCATGAGTTATTAGGATGATCTTCCACACCAGGCAGACTCAAGTCTTTCGCTGGGGCCCTCTGGAGATCCCCATCTGCATCTTGGAGAAGTTCGCCGAATTTTGAATTTAATTGTTGCTGAATCTACAGATGGAGTGGGCCTAACTGCAGACACGTGTTGTGCCACAGTGTTCCTTCCACCAGAACAACTTTGGAGGCTCCATGCTCATGTTCAGCTTTTCTCTCTGGTAGGTGGGCATGTTGGTTCTAGGCCTCCTGGTCTCCACTTTCGAAGCAGTACGAGCAACAACACACTCAATTTCTGACCAGGTGGGACGAAGTCCTCTTCATCCAAACATTTGCATGAGTCATCTGGTCAAGTATTTCACCTTGTGGTGGCTCTGTTCCCTGTAACTGCTGATTAGCATGTCACCACACACACACATTGTTGGCTGAAAAACATTTGTATACTACATATACAGCTTTTAAATTTGTACATGTCTCTTTACTACATTATACATGGAACATTGTAATGTATAAAAACACTCTCAGCCCACTAGAGGCTCATATCCTGTTAAATGCACAATAAGTCCATGATAGTCCATAATTGTCCATTACTATATAAGTGCTTAGGTGGCAGCCATCCCAGAGTATGCCAACTCTATAGAGATAAATGTATAAGAGGCGAGAGAGGCGCCTTTTAAGTGCAGTGTATAACACAATTTAATAAGCCACTAGAAAACTCACAATAGTGAAGAAGTAAAAAATGAGGGATAATCTCCAGGTTTGCCGCCATCATTCTACGAGGCCTGGAGAAGGAGTAGCTAGCTCCGAGCGCATAGCCTTTCTTCTCCTTGGTGTGCCGACCTCTCCCCTTGGTAACATCACATCCGCCCGGCTCTTGCGGTCTGCACTGGTCACAGACACTTTCAGATCCAGTGGCAGCATTCTGAGACTGTCCTACCATCCACGGTGGTCCCTATGGCAGTCTGACGGATTTCTGCAGGAGGTGGATGATGGTGGCAAACCTGGAGATTATACCTTATTGATGGGTTTTTCTACTTCACTATTGTGAGTTTTTTTTTATACAGTGGCTTATTAAATTGTGTTATATACTGCACTTAGAAGGTGCCTCTCTCTCTTTTTTTTCTTATTCATGGAACATTGTGATGTTCCTTAAGTTGGCTTTACTTGGATTGATATTTGGCCTGTTCAGCAGATACCAGCCAAATTCTGATCCATGTATGCGCAGGCTGGTTGTGAAGAAGTCTCTTTATCGACCGACTTCATACAACCAGCCTTCCAATTTTTTCCCCAATTGATCAGTGCCGCCAGCACTTCCATTTAGCCTGCCGTCTTTATAGTTTTGTCCTTTTTTTTTTTTTTTTTTTTTTTTTTAATTCTATGTTTCTCTGAAGATACACATGGAAGCTGTATCTCTGGCTCTGAGAACTTTTTTGTTTTCTTTGTATTTCTGGACTTGGTTACCCATTACTTCCAAGAATGCGACTAATGCGTGTTCAATAGTAGGATGTCTACTCCTCCAGTTTTTAGAGGGAAGTAAATTTCAGAATTCTAACAGCAAAAGGCCAGCTATGGCCCACTTAGTTTGTTGTAAACCCTTACATATACCCAATGAAGTGACTGTCACAGGTCGTACACGGAAATGAAACAAATCCTACATAAGTTGTACCTGTTTATTAGTAGTTCTCTCTTTACAGCTGTTCAAAGCCCTGAATTCATACAGCTTGTCTGACTATTCAGAAAGCAGGTGGCAGGGAGCTCAAGTTACTCTGCAGAGATCAGTGAGGAGAGCTGATTGGAGGGAAGAAAACCCCCCCCCCCCCCCCCCCCTCAAACAGGAACGGCGCTGAGACTGTTAATCACAGGCTGTGTGGTGGAGCTCCCTTCTGTCAACTTTTTACCTTCTTGATGTCAGGAAAACTTGTCAAACATCACTTATGCTGATAGCAGAGGAAAGAGGCAGAGTGTAATGACACACTTCTCTGGATTGAGACACGTGCACACTGTAGAGGGATATGCTTTGTTCATATTTTATGTTTGAGATTTACAGCCACTTTAACAAAGTTATGTTACACAACTGCCTGCGTCATTTCACAAAATTGTTTTCCTCTGTTGGTTGCACAGGAACTCATGCAAAGCCATATGTAAATGATATAACGATTAGAAAATTTGGAAGGGAAAATTCCTGGGCCTAGGTATTTGGCCACTAAAACAGCTTTGGTGCAGTTTAATTTTTCAACTTTCAAACTGAACTCTGGGGAAAACAAAAATGTTGCCTTGCAGTGGTGCTACCCCTCACTGCAAGGGATAACTAGTTGTATATAGGGGCCCAGTTAAAAAGCACTTCTCTAATCCATTGCTCCTACAGACACCCTCTGTGCTGCTAGATCAGTCCCCACAGACTCTTCTTCCCTGCGCTCTTCTAATTGCAAGTCCTCTGACATCACCAGTCACAGTGTGAGGACCATAGCCTTGCATTGGATGCAGAGGGTCAGTCCCCCACTGAAGTATAGGGAAAGAGGAGAGCTCTGGCTTCCAGGGGAGCAAGGAATTGGACAAATAACATTTTTGTTTTCTTATTCAGAGTACAGGACACAGAATTCTGTTATTCAAGACTGCAGGTTATATGCTGCCACCTTCAGATGAGGACACTGGCATGGGCCTGCCCATATAACCCTTCCCACATCCAGTACTCAGTTTTTTGCTGGTATTCTTAGGTGATATACGACCTCTCTAGTGAGAGCAAGTTCTAGCTTATAATTCTGGCATCTACTAGATTATTAGGAAGACTCCACACTGTGTAGATCTCCTGATTGGTGTTGGCAACTCCTTGGGGAACCATACCCAGGTCCTTCAGCTTGGAAAAACGGGTACCAGCCTGCAGTATTGCCTGCTGGATACGTTGATTGGCACTCACCCTTGGTACAGCAGTATGGCAAGGTACATTTTAGCTGCAGAGTGCTCTACAGGTCCAGGGCAGTGGCAGTCTGTACTGGTCTGACCTAGTCCCTGAAAATCCCCTTCATTGAGTAAGGTGTTTTTCCTCCCAAATCAGCAAGTACCTAAATGAAGGATGCTACTGTGGAAAACAGCCAGTACCCTGGAGTGGTGAGTCTGGAGTTTTGATACTTCTTCTGTGCCTCCCCCCCCAACCTGCCTCAGTCTTATTCCCCAGCTCCCTTCTTCATTCTTGGGCGTAGACCCTGGGCCCCTGCCTTGCACATTGGAGTGTGTGGCTTGAGTTTGCTAGGCCAGGAGCAATGTGTCGTGGGGTTGCTGTGACAATTTAAATGATGTCATGGTCAAAATGCAACACTGTTTCTACCTCTGAAGAGGTGATGTTGGATTCCCTGCAGCTCTTTTGGACACGCAATGGCCTGCACTGTACTCCTAGTTCCACCCTTCTAGGCAGTACCTCAGTGCTCCTCATTCTTGGGGCACCATTTTGAGCTCTCCTGCAGACTTCAGCTCCACCATTCCACTCCTGCAAATTGTGGCCCAGATCCTATCAATCCGCCTTCAGTTGCGAGACACAGGATGGCTGCACTTCTGCTTCACAGCACAGGTTGAGTACCCCTCAGGGAATCCCCTCACCCACATGGCTGATATCCCGCACAAGGAAAATGGGTTGAGGGTGCCAGCCAGCACACATTGTGCTGAGCGATAAGATAATTCAAGGAAAACAGTGCCCCTGGTACTTTGAATCTCAGTCTCCACTCCTCTAAGTCTCCCATTAACTCCTCTAGTACCACTTTCCTCATTTTTAACTACTAGGCATCGATACTCCATGAGGAGAGGGAGGAAGATGAGGAAGTGGAAGGTGAATCCTCGGAGTCTGAGACATCTATCCATCTGAGACATCTACTCCAGAGGAGTTCTCTATCATCCCAAGTTGAAAAAGAAACATTACTTTTCTGGTGGACAAGATAAACTCCTGTTTTGAAGTAAGAGCCATCTCCACCCTCTGGGCCTAAGGTCCACCAGTATGTGATCATTTCCCAAATCCAACAAGCCTATTAGGTCCTTTCTGCTCCATCCATTGGTTCAGGATGTTCAGTATGAGAACTGGCCAGACAAAGTGTACTCCTCCCAAGATGTGTGCTCAGCAATAACCAGTTTAGGCTGCTTGCCACAAAAAGTAGAAAGCTCTAGTTTTGGATCCAAGTATTTCCTGCTTCAACAAATCCCTAATGATTTCAGTTGAGGGGGTCCCAGTCTTCAAAGACCTAATGGACAAGAAGCTGGAGGCCTCTCTAAAGCCGTTCTTGTTCTGTCAAGCTCAGCCATACAGCTGATAATTTTATTGATGGCCATTGTTGAAACCCTTTGTATTTAAGAAAAAAAAAAATGCAGCTCCTCACCTGGAGCACTGCTTTACCGTGCAGACAGGTTCGACAAACTCCCAGCAGCAAAATTCTTGCATTTCTTATGTCTGTTCATATGTGCAGGATTCCGTGGCTGCAGAACTGCTCTGTGGAGACTGCCAGGAAGAATCGTCTGGAAAGTTCTTTAATGAACGACTCTTTGGAGAGTTCCTAGACACCTTTATTATAGAAGTCACAGATGTAAAGAGCACTCTTACCTAGTAAAAGTCAGTAGCGCGCTGCAAAATTGCCCACCTCAAAGTTTCTGAAAGAGTTCATACGGTCCCTCCCAAACTTTTGCTTCCAAAGCCATATCCTCCACTTAATTCCATTCCTTGGTAAGTCAACCAAGTCTGGTACCAAGTCCTGCTCGCAGTGAAGGGGTGCCCTCACTTCTACAAGTAGTGGGACGTCTATTGGCCTCCTCAGGCACCTGGACTTAGGCCATATTGGATCATTGGGTCGAGGATACAGTGTTCCACTGTTACAGACTAGAATGTCGGTTTCTCCATCCTTTCTGCTTCATGTAGTCAATCCTGCTTCTCAGAAGATATTGTGGGCCCTTCACTGTGCCTAGTAATAACTTCACTCTTTGGGATAGATTGTTCCACTTTCCTTGGAGGAATTATTTTAGGGCTTTTACTTAAACCTTTACGATCCTGAAGCCCCACCTTGGATCTTACGAGTTCTCTTCATCCCTCAACATCTTCTTGTGGGTCCACAAGTTCAGGTGGAAGCAACCTGCAGTCTGATTGCATTGCTGCAATCATTTAGATATCACTGATGTGTATTTATACATTCCTATGTTTCCTTCGTATTTACAGTGGACGAGCAGCACTTCCTGTTAGTGGTTTCTACTTTTGGCCTGTACATTGCCCCCATTGTATTCTCTGATCCTTGAGCTGTTGCGCTCTCAGGGAATCCACATTAGCAGGAATCTGGGTGATCCCCTCTGCAAGGAGCACTCCTCTACCCAGGCATCCACAGGGGAGGTTACAGGACGCAGAAAAATACTAATTAGAAATAGATTACAGAGCCATTAATTAATGGATGTGTATGGAGAATAAAGATATCGCTTAGTATCACTTTAATTGTATGTAGCATGTACTCTGTGTTCCTAATTTGCAATTTTTTAAAAGCCCTGCTTCACACTAGAACGTGGTTTGGGAAACCTGCGATGCGTGCATGTTTCCTGCAGTGCATTCAAAACACAATGCCCTGGCGATCTGCAGCAGGTATCAGTGCAATGTTAATGACACCCAACATGCAGGTTGCAAATGCATGTTCTTTTTCACATTGACATCCTCAAGCTCAAACTTTTTTAACATTTTACTGTATATTCTGAAAACATTTTTCTTCCTTAGGTTCGTTACCCAGAGCGCATCACAATACTGAGAGGGAATCATGAGTCTCGACAAATTACTCAAGTTTATGGTTTTTATGATGAGTGCCTACGAAAGTATGGAAATGCAAATGTATGGAAATATTTTACAGATCTATTTGACTACTTACCATTGACGGCTTTAGTTGATGGACAGGTATGTTTATTGTTACAATTTATTTTAGCTTACTTTTAAAAAAAAAAAAAAAAAAAAAAAACAAAAATGTAAAAAATCTCTTAATACATTTTTTTACTTCCTGATTGACTCCGTACATATGTGTGTCCCATTGACTTAAATGCAAAAACGCCCTCTATTGACTTAAGTGCAACATTGCGTCTATTTAATTTTTTATATATAAAAAAAAAATGTGTATGTATGTTGAATTTGTATCGCCAGACGCCCGGGACATGTAGTTCAGGATGCCGAGCAGGTAGTTTTTTTTTTTTTAAATCTTTTAGCGCCGCTGCCGGCAAGCAGCAGGGCTCAATTGTCAGGTGGAAGCATTCAGGCGACAGCAAAAGGGATAAAGGATAAGCCCGACACTCCACTCCCCTTTCCTGACAAGCACACAATTGGTGCTCAATTACACTGCAGGGTCTGTGATTACCAACCAAAAAAGTCTTCAAATATATTAATAGTAAAAAGGTCAGGTCCGAGCATATAGGCCCTTTACAAAATAATCTAGAGTGGGTGACTGGGGACAAAGAGAAGGCAAATTTATTAAATACCTTCTTCAGCTCTGTGTATACAAAGGAGCATGGGGGAGCTCTTGTCCATAATGGGCATGGTATTGACACAGCTCCAGATGATCACAATTGATATGATCCAAAAATATTTAGACAGTATAAAGGTGAATAAAGCACCTAGACCGGATGGCATACACCCACGGGTCCTTAAAGAATTGAGCTCTGTCATTTCAAAGCCATTGTTTCTAATTTTAGGGACTCTTTAATGACTGGCATAGTGCCACTGGATTGACGTAAGGCCAATGTGGTGCCTATATTTAAAAAAAAAAAAAAAAAAAAAGGTCCAAATCTTTACCATGTAATTATAGACCTGTTAGTTTAACTTCTATAGTTGGGAAGATCCTGGAGAGTTTAATAAAAGACCGCATCGATGAGTTCTTGCTGGAAAGAAAACATTTTAAGCAACAGACAGCATGGTTTCATGAAAGACAGAAGTTTTCATACAAATCTGATTTCTTTTTATGAGGAGGTGAGCAAAACCTTGTGGGGTGGCGGTATACTTGGATTTTACAAAAGCGCTTGACACAGTTCCCCACACATGGCTAATGTGTAAGGTAAAGTCTACAGGCTTGGAAAAATCTGTATGCAAATGATAGAAAACTGGCTAAAAGAGAGTAGTGGTTAATATTGCATACTCTGAATGGTCTGGGGTCATCATTGGTGTACCCCAGGGTTCAGTGTTGGGACCCTTACTTTTTAATATATTATAAACAATATAGGGTCTGAAATTAAAAATCCCATTTCAGTCTTTGCAGATGACACCAAGCTGTGCAGTGGAATAACGTCCTTACAGGATGTCTCCAACTTACAAGCCGACCTCAATGCACTGTTTAATTGGGCAACTATGTGGCAAATGAGGTTTAATGTTGATAAATGTAAGGTTATGCACTTGGGGGCTAAGAATATGCATGCATCATACATACTAGGGGGGTACAACTAGGGGAATCCATGATGAAGGATCTGGGGGTTCTGGTCGATCACAAGCTTAATAATGGCAATGCCAAGCTGCGGTTTCTAAAGCGAGCAAAAAAAATCTCTCTTGTATTAAAAGAGGTATAGACTCCAGAGAGAGATATCATATTACCCCTGTACAAATCATTAGTAATACCTCATCTGGAATATGCAGTTCAGTTTTTAGCACCAATTCACAAAACGAGCATTGGGATACTGGAGAAAGTACAGAGAAGGGTAACCAAACTGCTAAAAGGCAAGGAGGAGATCAGCTATGAGGAAAGATTAGAGGAACTGAATTTATTCTCTCTTGGGAAGAGGAGATTAATGAGGGATATGATCAACATGTATAAATACATCAGTGGTTCATATAGTGAACTCGGTGTAGAGTTATTCACCCTGAGGTCATCACAGAGGACAAGGGGGCACTCTTTACATCTGGAGGAAAAGAAATTTAATCTCCAAACATGGAAAGGTTTCTTCACAGTGAGAGCTGTGAAAATGTGGATAGACTCCCTCAGGAGTTGGTTCTGGCCAGCTCAGTGGATTGCTTTAAAAAAAAGGCCTGGATTCTTTCTTGGGCACACAATATAACTGGACATTTATAGGTAAAATTGATCCAGGAATATCCGATTGTCTCTCGGGGGATCAGAAGCAAATTGGATTATGCTTTGCTGGGGTTTTTTGCCTTCCTCTGGATCAACTGTGGGTGTAGGATTCTAACATTTTTTTCTTTTTTTTTTTTTTTTTTTTTTAATGGTTGAACTGGATGGACTTTTGTCTTTTTTTTCAGCCAGACTAACCTATGTAACTATGTAATGCAGATCAATATTTTTGATCTTATCTGAGAGGCAGTCTCCAGTGTTATTGTATCACACACTTCTACAATAAAAACCTGGTCTAAACTCAACCTCCCTTCTATGTTTATATCGCAAACAAAATTATTATATAAACCTTATGTCAAATAGACACAATCCAACATTTCACCGGGCTGCTGTATCATTTTATATAGTTTATTGATAAAGTTAAAAATATACCCAAAAGAACAAGGGTAATACACAACAAAATTTAAATCAAAAACAGAAATGCCCCCCCCCCCCCCTCTCTTGTATTAATACACAGCTGTGTTATATTATTGTGTCCCCCTACATATAATGGTATTAGGGTGATCCCCAACAAAATAAACAACCGATTGTGCAGTTAATTTTCAAAGAAAAAACTGGGCAAGGCAATGGGCTTGTATGCCTGTACGTGTGTGTATGTATGTATGTATGTATGTATATGTATGTAGAGTGGGGCAAAAAAGTATTTCGTCCGCCACCAATTGTGCAAGTTCTCCCACTTAAAAAGATGAGAGAGGCCTGTAATTGGCATCATAGGTAGACCTCAACTATGAGAGACAAAATGAGAAAAAAATCCAGACAATCACATTGGCTGATTTGGAAAAGAATTTATTTGCAAATTATGGTGGAAAATAAGTATTTGGTCACCTACAAACAAGCAAGATTTCTGGCTCTCACAGACCTGTACCTTCTTCTTTAAGAGGCTCCTCTGTCCTGCACTCATTACCTGTATCAATGGCACCTGTTTGAACTTATCAGTATAAAAGACACCTGTCCACAACCTCAGTCACACTCCAAACTCCACTATGGTGAAGACCGAAGAGCTGTCGAAGGACACCAGAAACAAAATTGTAGACCTGCACCAGGCTGGGAAGACTGAATCTGCAATAGGCAAGCAGCTTGGTGTGAACAAATCAACTGTGGGAGCAGTAATTAGAAAATGGAAGACATACAAGACCACTGATAATCTCCCTCGATCTGGGGCTCCACGCAAGATCTCACCCTGTGGGGTCAAAATGATCACAAGAACGGTGAGCAAAAATCCCAGGACCACATGTGGGGACCTAGTGAATTACCTGCAGAGAGCTGGGACCAACGTAACAAAGGCTACCATCAGTAAAACACTACGCCGCCAGGGACTCAGATCCTGAAGTGCCAGACGTGTCCCCCTGCTTAAGCCAGTACATGTCCGGGCCTGTCTGAAGTTTGCTAGAGAGCATTTGGATGATCCAGAAGAGGATTGGGAGAATGTCATATGGTCAGATGAAACCAAAATAGAACTGTTTGGTAGAAACACAACTCGTCGTGTTTGGAGGAGAGAGAATGCTGAGTTGCATCCAAAGAACACCATACCTACTGTGAAGCATGGGGGTGGTAACATCATGCTTTGGGGCTGTTTCTCCACAAAGGGACCAGGACGACTGATCCATGTACAGGACAGAATGAATGGGGCCATGTATTGTGAGATTTTGAGTGCAAACCTCCTTCCATCAGCAAGGGCATTGAAGATGAAACGTGGCTGGGTCTTCCAACATGACAATGATCCCAAACGTACCACCCGGGCAACGAAGGAGTGGCTTCGTAAGAAGCATTTCAAGGTCCTGGAGTGGCCTAGCCAGTCTCCAGATCTCAACCCCATAGAAAACCTTTGGAGGGAGTTGAAAGTCCGTGTTGCCCAGCGACAGCCCCAAAACATCACTGCTCTAGAGGAGATCTGCATGGAGGAATGGGCCAACATACCAGCAACAGTGTGTGCCAACCTTGTGAAGACTTACAGGAAACATTTGACCTCTGTCATTGCCCACAAAGGATATATAACAAAGTATTGAGATGAACTTTTGATATTGACCAAATACTTATTTTCCACCATAATTTGCAAATAAATTATTTCCAAATCAGCCAATGTGTTGTCTGGATTTTTTTCTCATTTTGTCTCTCATAGTTGAGGTCTACCTATGATGCCAATTACAGGCCTTTCTCATCTTTTTAAGTGGGAGAACTTGCACAAGTGGCGGCTGGCAATACTTTTTTGCCTCACTGTGTGTGTGTGTGTGTGTGTGTGTGTGTGTGTATATATGTGTATATATCCAAGCTCTTGGGAAAAATAGACACTGTTTAGTTCCATAAAGATGACCGTTCCAACTTGAAAGCTCCCGAAGAAACACTGGTGGTGCCCCACTGATTTACAAAGGACACCATGGTCCAGAGGAGAATATGACACACAAATTGCACTCTTAATGGGGGTATATCCCCTTTTCTTGACAGATATGATGCAAATAAAGTGCTATGAACACCTCCTTCACACACCAGTGAAATCCTCAAGATTGGCACATGAAGCCATCGGAGAAATCCATGAAGTAACCCCAAAGCATAAACCTTCAGGCAGTCATAGTTCAAAATAGTGAAGGCCACAAGGTTTTGGCATCTGAAGTAACCCAAAAGCTTTAAACCTTCAGGCTGTCGTGATTCAGAATGGATCACTGATTGTTGTCCATGGTATTTGTATATTCAACTGTATAGTCAATTGAACTGTATCATTGCTGTATTGGCTCCCTTTATATTGAAAAGCACTGAGCAAACTGTTGGCACTATATAAATCCTGTATTAAAATAATATATGCTCAGAGTTAAAATATAGTGCACATCACATTCTTAACAGTCCTGGTGTGGGGGGTCATCCTGAACAGCCTCTCCCAGGTGAATCTCCATATCAGGACTGTCAAGTATGTGATAATGGGAGGTTGAGTCTAAACCGGGTTTATTGTAGGAAGTGTGTGCATTGTCCAGTTTCCCATTGGCAAATGTAACAGCTGCTATCTGGTGTATACAGTAGTTAACTCAGCCACACCAATACTACTTTTTTTGCCTGATTAGATAGACTATATTCAGTTGTACTTGTCAAATGATTTAAAAAAAAACTTTTTTTTTTTTTTTTTTTTTTTTTAAATGTATTCCTATTTAGCAAAAAGTATCTTGGATTGGCAGATACCTTAAGGCCCCATCCACACATGAACGTTTTTGTAACTTGTAGCTCAAAGTTCAAAACACTTATGCAAAAACCCTTTCATATTCAGTAGCCCTTGTTCACATCTGAGTGTCCTGTTGCTCCAAAAAGTACGCACTACTTTCCAGGCAGAATTGAGCATTTATAGACTTTACTGGGAATGCCTGAAAACATTTGATTCAAGCGTTTTTTTTTTTTTTTTTTCTTCAGGGTTTTGTTTAACAAATTAACTAATAGTCTTTTTGTCATTGGCTAAAACAAAAAGCCTGAAGCTTGAATACACATGTAAAACTCTCATAATGCACTTTTAAAAATGCCTGTATACACATTCAAAAAAGTTCAAACTAAACTGAAAATCGCTCTTCTCAGGCTGAATGCAGCCTCCAATGCCTGGCCAGACTTTTTCATTAACTAAATGAAGCTTCAGTGTTCAATTTGTTTTATGCAGACAGAGTTTTCTGCGAGGTGCTCAAGAACGCCTTCAGCTTCCCACACTTGTGTGGGTGCTATTAGATAGACAAATGTGTAAGACAGTTAAAACAGCCAGCTTATGATGCTGTCAAGATTATAATACTGGTTTGTTTAAAATTCAAGAGTACGTTCATTTTAATCAGTGACTAATATTGCTGTGTAAATTGTAAGAATGTTTTTTTTTTTTTTTTTTTAATCCAAACAGCGCTACAATTTCCATAATAGACATGTCCTATTATTTGAGCCACTTCCTGACCAACCACGCACGCACGTACGGCAATCAGGAAGTGCTTTTACAGGATCATGACTGTAGCCATGAGCCTGGTATCAAATTTTTCAGCCGTCAATGCTTTACATTGAAAAAGTTATCCAAGCAGCCATATCACCTATGCCGACTCCCTTCTGCCACCTTTCCCGGCCTCTCCTGTCCAACTTGGGAGCCCAGGACCGATGTGACCTGTTGCATCAAATGGACAGCAAAGAGTTCTGTTCCTTCCCCCCTCTCCTGTGATGGCAGAAATCAGAAGCAACGAGGATTTAGTCACATCCGGTTTCATGGTTGTTTACAAGACGCAACTGGCTAGTAAAGACGCCAATTAACTTTTTCGATGCCAGAACTGTTTTTGCATACATTTAAAAAAATCATTTTAGGCTTGAAGATTACACAAAACCCTCCAAAACCATATATTTTCTGAAAGCAGATACCCTACAAAATAAAATAGAGTTCACATTTTTTATGGCACACAGTATTACCGGAAAGGTCTAGGAAATGCAGAATTTCAGTAAAAAACACACTAAAGTAAAGTGAATTTTAGGGCAAACAAATGCAACAAATTACCAAAATATTTGGTAAGATATGAAAGACAAGGTCGCGGCGAGTAACTAGATATCCAGCATGCCAGAACTTAAATTTGTGTGCGCGCCTATGAAATGGTGACAAACTGCAGTATCCTATATTTTCTATAGGAGACTCTTCAAAAGGCCCTATAGGTCATCAGTTTAGTGTCACGGAGGAGGTCTTGTGCTAGAATCAGTGCTGTCACTCCGGTGTGCATGGCACTGACGTGTGCGTTTACGTTAGTTTGTGCGTATTTGTGGGGGTTGAGGGGCTTACTTTTTTGGGGGGGGTATGTGCTTGGGTGTAACTTTTTTTTTTATTTTTGCAATAGAATTTTTCTTTTCTTTTCCATCACATAGGGGGCTGGTACCAGGGGGGGGGGGGGGGGGAGGGGCTGTGGAAGCAATTGGGCTGCCCGACTGCTTCCACCGGACAGGCTTGGTTGGCTGATTTGGAGGGCACCAGAGGGATGCATTAGACCCCACATCTCTCCATAAAGAGGACCTGTCACAGTCCATGCTATCACAAAGGATGTTGTTTTTACCTTGTGATTGCTATTAGGTTCAATAAAAAATAGGCACAGTGTAAAAAAAAAAAAACATTGAAATTAAATTAAAACATTTTTAATAATGCGCCCTTGTCCCACTATGCTCACGTGCAAATACAAATGCACATCGGTCCTGCGCACACATGTAAACGATGATCAAACACATGCAGTATCATAGCAAACATCAGTGAGAGCAATAATTCTAGAACCAGACCTCCTGGTAACCTGTTAAGGCTTTTAAAACCTCGCCTATGGAGATTTTTTAGGTACCGTAGTTAGTCGGTGTTTCACAGGTGTACACCGTTTTAAAGCATGACATGGTAGGTATCTGTTTACTAGGCGTAACATCTGTTTAAATTTTACAAAAAACAAATTGGGTATTGTTTACACAAAAATTCTAAGTATTTTTTCCTGAAAATTTTGAGTTTAATAAACCTCTGGGCAAATATTGTTTGACATTAAAAATTGTAACCCCCCCCACTTTATTTGCTTTCAAAATATATCTATTATAGGGGTTCTAAGTATTTTCTAGCAAAATAAATTGCAAATTATTACATGTATGTGAGAAATGTTTGAAGTGGCTAAATTAAACTTAAACCCGGTTTCATTTCAGATTTTCTGTCTCCATGGAGGGCTCTCCCCATCTATTGATACATTGGATCACATCCGTGCTTTGGATCGCTTACAAGAAGTTCCCCATGAGGTATTTTTTTTGGTGGCTTCATGCACAATTATATATTAAATTACAGACACTTGCGAAACTTTAGAATAGACTAAGATAATGGATTTATTAAACCATCACTTCTTGTACCCTGCAAGGTATTTTTATTCTTGTGATTTATGTACTACATTTAAGTTTAATCTACCTGTAGTACCAACCTAAAGCATTTATTTCTCCCAATGGATCATTGGTAAACATAGGAGGTCATTATTCAACTTTGGATATATTAGATGCCTGTAGGTGATTGAACAATAGTAAAGTCCTCCAGTGGGTATAACCCAGCTTGTGTTGGTGTTCTGAGGAGGTAGGATGTCTTTCTACAGCTCTGGACTACTATACTGAAAAAAATTCTATCCAGAAGTTACTGACACTGTCATACTAGACTGTCAGATCCTGTATATGCACCCCAGCAGCTGATGTAGTTGCAATTGTCATTCGCTGATCTGCAAATTAAAAATTTTACTGCATAAACCTTGCTCCTCTGTGACATACCAACTCAGTCACTGCAGCGGCCATCCACAGGGTCCATGTTCTACACACTGCTTAGCTTCTTGCTTGTTCCACCTTAACACCACAACATAACAGTCCCCAGAACTGGAAATTTTCTGAAGCAGTTGCACCCAGTTTCACTGGCAGACCTGTCTCACAGATTGTAGACTGATACTTGGGGCTCGTTCTTGCTGACATAACTTCTAAATGCAAGTAATGAGATTAAATTGTAAAGTTCACACTGTGGGGTTTTCTGTTGTCAGGTGCATGCATTATAGCTGTGTTTTAGAGAATTTAATTTTGTTTGTCCAGGTGTAGATAAGATACGCTGAATTACTTTAAACTTGGGTAAACTCCTTTTAACCTTTAGGCTTTCAGCTTTCCAAAGTCAGCGCTCCAGCTTCCAGTGTCTGTGGTACCTGGGTCTATTTTTGGAGACTGCCCAATCAGCATCTTCCTCCCTCAGGATAAAATTGCCTCCCTAAGGTCAAGTTCTCAAACCCTCTGGTCATGACAGTCTTCAATTTTCTTCTGCATGAGGGTTCTGAGCCTCACGGTGGCCTCCTTTTTGAGGCAGTTTCCTTTGCCCAGTTTTCACTCCAGGCCCCTTCAGTCCAACATTTTTAATACAAATTCAATCCTTAGGTAACCCAATATTCTGTCTACTCAAACACAGCTCTCTATGGCATGGTGGATATCCAATACAGCCCTGAAGTTGGAAGGACTTGGGAAGTGGTAATGACAGATGTGAGCCTTATGGGCTGGGGTGGAGTTTACAACTTCCTGACTGTCCAGGGGACATGGTACCTGCAAGAGTCCAAATACCCCATCAACATTCTACAACTGAGGGCCACTACATTGTCTCTACAGCATCTTCCCTTTTAGAAGGTCACCCAGTTCGAGTACAGTCAATCAGTGCCACAACAGTACCTACATAAATAAAGGGGGCACTAGAAGATTAGCAGCCCTAAACGAAATGTCTACGACTCTCATGGGCAGACATCCTAAGCTGCCAACTGAGCAAAGACACTTCCTAGGCTGTCAATGCCCAGACCTGGAAGAGTTATGTCTGTACTGTGAGATCTTTCTAAATTTAAGATTATGAAAACCAGATGTGGACATTCTGGCCTCATGTTCAGCAAGAAACTGAACAAGTTTGTGTCCAAGACCAGCCTTTGCAGTAGATGCCCTAGTGGTTCCTTGGACTCCATTCCAACAAGTTTATATCTACTCTCCAAAGATCCTACCTTGACTGTTTCGCAGGGGTGATTCACATACCAAAGTGGCCCTGAAGTGCGTGATATACAGATGTACTCAGACTTCTTTTTTTATTAATTTCATATTACAAAATCCAATGTACCAATCAAAACTCAGTTTTCCAATACATACTTTACATATTCCACCCCCCCCCCCCCCCCTTGAGGTAAGAGTGTTCAACAGAATGTACCTATACATCTGTCTCGCATATCTAATACCTCTTAACCATTGTTTGCTGGTACTGGACAACCATCTTTCACATTCTTTCCTCCAATATTTAACATTTACCCTTTCTGAGGCTCCCTCTGCCCTTCTTCTTGGTGACACATTTCTACACTAGAAATCCAGCCTACAAACCTACTAAATTATAACTGCATTGACTAGATTGCATAAGGCAAACTTCTAGACTGTCCAGCTGGGCAATCTTGAGTAAACTCCATCATGATCTGTGAAAAAGAAAAAAAAATTGTTAGGCACAGTGGAACAATGTCTACCTTCATAACTCAGCTTTACAGTGCTCCTTATTTTTAGTGTTGCTTGTTCTGTTATCTTTCATTCTCCATCATTAATCCTGGTCCCACAGTTACCCAGTTTTCTGAATGTTAACCCCTTAAACCTTTGTTGTAAACTTTTCTATTTAACCTTTTGGCACTTCTATATTTCTCCTTTTTGTATTTTTTTTTACTGTAAGTAGCTTGGGACATGAAAGTGTAGCAACAGCATTTTGGGCTAAACAAAAACTGTTGCTACTTTCATTCTTCATTTATTAGAACATAGAGGCATAGAAAACAACAACTTTAGATTGTTCAGAAACATAACCTAGCCCATTACTTGTTCCAGAATGCATGTATGTGCTGTCGTAATTATCAGTGTTATTTCAATACATCTCTCCATGTGTTCTAGGGCCCTATGTGTGACCTTTTGTGTGGTCCGATCCTGATGATCGTGGTGGCTGGGGTATTTCTCCAAGAGGTGCTGGCTACACTTTTGGACAAGATATCTCTGAAACTTTTAATCATGCCAATGGCCTCACTTTGGTGTCACGAGCTCATCAGCTGGTCATGGAGGTAAGGCTAGTATTACAGTAGGTTTATTTGGAACAAAGTACGTTGCCATCTCCTCGGCTTTAGTGTGGTCTTTATACTATGATGTGGGTAAATTTGAATGATATACCATTTTATATAACGTGCAGTGACTTGGAACACGTGAAAATATTTTGCCCTCTTTGCCAAGAGCAATGGTATTACAGGCCACAGTGAGCACCTCCAGCCTGTCCTGCCTATATTGCACACTGGAGGAGTTCCCTGTTTTTCACCAAGCTGTACTGTGGCAGGGCAAGAAAGATGGCAGAGTACATTTCTCAGCCTTTCAATAAATTGTAGTTTCAAGCTAATTTTTGAAAATGTATAGAAAGGCTTTATAAGGTGATTGTGTGTTTTTAAATAACAAAAAATTACTGCATATATTAAATGTCGTTTTCTTTATACAGGGCTACAACTGGTGTCATGACAGAAATGTGGTTACCATTTTCAGTGCACCTAATTACTGTTATCGTTGTGGAAATCAGGCAGCTATTATGGAACTGGATGATACCCTTAAATACTCCTTGTAAGTAAAAAAAAAAAAAAAAAAAAAAAAAATTATCCGTAAAAAGGGCATATGTAGTTAGCATTAATATATATATTTTTGTCATGTTTCCAATTTGGTAGATTTCCCTTTACTGCCTGTTTTGGCAGTAAAGACAAAACTCAACAAGGTGCAAAATGAAATCTTAGTTGTCACTGAAACAAGTCCCCACTGGAATATTTTTGGACTTTTAGTCATTTCGGTCATCGGAGAAATGGAAAGTGAATCTACGGAGACAGAGACAGCAAAAAACACTTAAGGGGTTCTAACACCTCTTTGTTCAAAGCTTGAAAAACAATTTGGCTTTAGATGAACTTTAAAGACTTGAATCGTTTAGTTCTTTGTGTAGAGCCAGATGTTGTAATTATCAGATGCTGTATTTGTCTGGCCATATAGGCATAGCACCTGGTTGCTAGAAAATCGTCAGCTTATGGATATTGTCATACTAGTTTACCAGAATGTAACACATAAGAAAGCAGTAGAATCAGTTCATGGGAAATAGTGTATTCGTTTTTCTGTACAAGTAAACATGATCTATTTTACAAGGATTGGGCACAAATGGACAGCAGAGCATAGATGATCTATTTGCCAACAAAGTGTCACAATATACAGACACTCTTTAAAGTTGAACTACACTGCATCTGAGCACCACAAAGTAAAAATGCTATTCAATTCATTTTTTAATAATCAAAGCAAACTCCACCATCCATCCATGTCTCCATGTTTTATTTTGCTGAGAAATCACTTTTAAAAAATAACCCTCCTAGCATTTCTGGTCATGGCCATCTTGAGTAAGGACAGATGATTCATGTAGCATTTACTTCCTGGAATCCATCTGCCCTTAGTTCAGTCATACAAGCAGGAGGGCGTGCTTAGCTGAAAAAACTCTCTCCTCCCCTACAGAAGACTCCTGGGATGTATGACATCATTTGCCTAGGCAAGAAACCAGGGAGTAACTGAAGAAACTTTTAAAAAAAAATAAATAAATAGTTTAAAACAAGTCAATATGATAGACTTTCCTATCTATTTACTAATGCTAGCAGCATAAGAATTAAAAATGGTAATTGTTGATTGAGAGAGTGAATTTCCACTTTAAGCTCCTCTCCCTGACAACCAGCAGGTGTGGGGAACTCCTTTAAGAGGCAACTAACTACAGTATCAATAAATTACTGAGCAAGAAGTCAGCAACTGTACACCACCACAACTCCCATAACTTTTTAACGTCACATATGCAATAGCTGCAGACATCACTCCAACAATAGTGATTTTAAATTCAAGGCACTTTCCATGCATGACACAAGTAGCATTTTTGTTGTCATGCAGTTTTTTTTTTTTTTTTTTTTGCTGGCATTTTTGCAGTTAAACCAAATTTTGTGTGAATCAGCTGGATTTACTGCATGCATGTTATTTGTAACTTGTGGTATTTTGATATTCTACTCATTTTCTTTTACCTGCCCTTTGTCACTTGCACATTATAAACTCCATTTACTTCGGTGACAAAGAAAATTAAGACCTTGAGCAACTGTGTGTGATCCTTTTAACCGCCTCGCCTGCCATATAGTCCAATGACGGGTGCAAGGCGGTTCTCTCATTCTGGGAGGACGTCATATGACTTCCTCCCATTCTCACCTCGCATGCACGGCCCCCGGAGCCCGGCGATCGGCAGTGCGCTGTGTACCTTGGACACAGTGGATCACCGATCCACGGAAAGAGCCGAAGATGTCGACTTGGTCATGTGATCAGCTGTGTTCAATCACAGCTGATCCCATGTAAACAGGGAAATGCCGGTTATCGGCATTTCTCTCCTCACGAGCTGTCACTCTTGACAGCTCGTGAGGAGGGCCGGTAATATGCATTCCTCGGAGGGGACATGTACACTGATCATCAGGGCACTGATGATCAGTGTAGTCCTAGCAGTGCCACCTGTCAGTGTCCATCAGTGCCAGCTCTCAGTGCTCATCCATACCACCTGCCAGTGCACATGCCACATATCAGTGCCCATCTGAGCCACCTGTCAGTGATGCCTGTCAATGCCCATCAGTGCCACCTATCAGTGCCCATCACTGCAGCCTCATTAGCGCACATCAGTGAAGGAGAAAAATCACTTATTTACCAAATTTTATAACAAAAACTAAAACTTTTTTTTTCAAAATTTTCAGTGGTTTTTGGTTTGTTTAAGAAAAAATAAAAAATCCAGAGGTGAATAAATACCACCAAAATAAAGCTCTATCTGTTACAAAAAAAATACAAATTTCATATGGGTACAGTGTTGCATGACTGCTCAATTGTTATTCAAAGTGTGACAGCGCTGAAAGCTGGAAATTTGGCCTGGGCAGGGAAGGGGGTATAAGTGCCCTGTAGGCAAGTGGTTAATGCCTATTCATGATTATTCGCCTTAATGCATGTGCAAATGTTTGACATTGTTTGCAACGCATGTTAGTGCATCAAGAAGTGCTTTAAAAATGCACATCAAAAATGTTGCAGCAGAAGTGCATAATCCTGAATCCTGCCTCAATTGAAGTGAATAGAGTTTGGGATGTGCACGGCCTGAGGACGACGTGGAACACTGAGAAGACTTTGATGATTTTCTGGTCCAACATAACCAGGGAGCTGCATTTTAGGCAAAAACGATCTATTACAAAATTGTTGGGTAGAGGAGGAGGCCCTGACAATGATTAGTGCACTTTTCCTTTATTCAAATAACTCTACACTTGTGCCAACTATATTTGGAATGTAACAATTTAGATAAGGAAATTGCCATAAGGTGAAATAACAAACTCTGTTGAAATAACTCGTGCTGCTTGGTGAAACTGACCCCTATTTTTTTAAGGTATAATTTGCTTTTTAATGCATGTCTTTTTAGTTATCTGAAATATATGAATTGTAGCATTCAATTACTAATGCCATAGTAGAGATTATTTTAATTGAGTTCTCTTTATTTTCCCACAGCCTTCAGTTTGACCCAGCTCCTCGACGTGGAGAGCCACATGTTACTCGACGCACTCCTGACTATTTCCTATAAGCAATTGTAAACACATTGCCTTCATCTGTGCAATTATACTTGGCATTTAAACCAGATTAAATGTGTCTGTATATAGACATGGAAACCAACAAAAGAAAACCAAAATGTTTTAATTTAAAAATTGGATCCTGCTTATACATCACACTGACCTGCCCATTGAAGAAATATTCTTTGCATTTCCCCAGTTTATATTTCCAAATAGGCTAAGAACCCATCACGGACCAAAATGTGCCATACTGTTGATGAAGCATTTAGCACAATTTGAGACTGCGGTTCATTATTTCAATCAGTCCATTAGTCAGTTTGCCTGCTGTATTTGTAAGTCATGTTTCCTACTGAACTGTTCAACCAGTAAAGGGTAACTTGCAAGGCCTTTATCTCCCTTTGCACCTACTTTGTAAATTTTAGTTGTAGTGATAAGCTGGCATGACAGATACCATTTGGAGTTATTTTTAAAAAGAAATGCACCTGCTAATCATTCACTGTATATTTTTTGTTTTTCAAAAGTACAGATACATTGGAGAAATCTGACCTGAGTGTATGCCATAACATTAATGTACGTTTTTTCTGTATATTTGTCAAAGTGCTTGCAGCTCCTTTGGTGTATTTGAACAAATAAACTTTCAATTGTAGACCTCCAGTGTGTGTTAAACTTGGTGTTTAATGTGTAGACTTAATTCATAATGCCAATATAATATTCCTGTGGAGTCCCTTGTATGCCAACCTTTACAGTGGTACCTTGATTCCTTTCCAATTAAAACTTAAGCCTTACCTCCACCCAGAGCAGTCTTTTGCTGTCAATCCAGAACTTCTGTAGAGGCTCTATTTGACTGTTAAATGATGGCACACATACCTCAGAGTGCCTTCTAACCTGGAAACATTTGCACCCACCACCCCTCTTCCCCCCTTCCCTTCCACAATTGTTGCCATCGACTTCAGAGTCTCTGGGTCCAGAATCTCCACCATCTTGGTTGGCCAGTCAGGGATGACTTAGTGACGCTATGGTAAAAATGTAAAATCGCATGGTTAGTTCCCCATTTTATTTCACTTTTTTTTTGGCCTACTCCTCTTCATCTTTATAATCTTTGAAATTTCACTGTTTGAAGGATCCCACACATTTATTTCCTTGAATTCACAATGCCCTGTAAATGTGTATTGCTGTGTCGCATGTTCCACTGAGCCTGACTTCTGAACTACAGAGTTGCTGAGAGGAAGAGTTTCAGGAGGCATAGTCAGTACAGGTATCACTACTTGCAGGTGGCAAGGTGCCATGGGATATGTAGTTAGAAATCAAAAGTAAGCTAAAGAAACTAGCAGAGAAGCAGCTGCAAAGCATCAGCAGGGATGTCAAAGTTTTTTGTTTTTTTGTGTATATAAAGTAAACATATTTGTCAACTATCATTTATTGTACAGTGAAGGACACAGCCTAGTTATCATAATGGATGGGTTATATTCACCTTCAGGTGATTAAACACTGGCAAAGCCAATTACAGCTTTGAAAGCTCTGTTATATAAACCCTCCCACCATGTGATCCTCGTTTTTTTTTGCATGTGTCATCAGGTAATAGATGCATCTCTGAAATAAATAAATCTCTAAGTCTTGATAGAAGAGATTCTTAATCCTATTCTTTTTCCTACAAACTGCAGCAAGCCACTGTGGCAGAGGGTGTCCATTCTCTGGTTTCATGCTGTGGGGACTACCCAGACCCCAAATCAAGATCAGAATGGGGTTTCCTGTAAGTTGGGACTGTGATGCACCTGGCACACAGGTGACTCGCCTAGGCTGGGTACTCTAGATGTCCAAGTCAGTGGTCTGTCTGCAAGAGAGCCCTGTACTTGCAGATTCCCCCTATTCGTGTGATAAGCCTAACTGAAGTGGGCAGTAGGGAAGAAGCTCTTAGGGTCCTGTTGGGATATTGTCTCAGGGTATGGTAACTGGGTGTCAGCCTGTTTAAACTCGGATTTGATCAGGCACCAGCGTGGGTTGTTGGGGTCCTTGTTCCCCTGCTTAAATCCCTTCCTGCTGATTAGGAGGTCTGACCCATATTTCTGGGCAGGCCTCAATGTGCTGACCCAGCAGTACACAACCTCCATTTTTGACGCATCGTGCAGGCACCATTACACCATTTTGCTCCTCTTTTGTGTAGTAGGGTGTGAGCACAGATGCCATTTTAGAAACCATTGCATGTGCGGACATAATTTTTTGCTTCAGATGTGGAGACCAGCAGCATTAGATTGTGCTCTCGGGTAGGATCCCAAAGCAAGGATGCTTTAACATACCAAATTACCAGAAGCAGTGCATAGAGGGATTGTGGGTTTTTAGTAGATAACCGGACACTGCAAACCAATAACTATACTGGAGGGCCTGAGTACCACATAGGGGAAACATGGAGGACTCTAAGCACAGAGGGAAGGAAAAAGGCAGCACGACCAATATAGACTTATGACGGGATTGTAAGAAAGACAGTTACAAAGGGGACCAGGATACAAGGGCTTCCTCTCCTATCATACAATCATGGCTCCCCCTATCTTCTGACTCAGGGGCAGCATCCTCTGAGACACCACAGTCTTCTTGCCTGAGCAAAGAATTATTCTCCACCTAAATGTCTTGGAGAAGGGGAATGGCAATATTTCAGAAGATCGGCTCATCTTTCATCCTTCTGATTTGAGTTTTCCGACTTCTCAAATTTATAGGAAGATGATGTAACAAGGGCAGAATGTTCTTCTGACTCAAACAATTCACCTGTGGAAGAAGGCCCTTCTGCCACAGTGTCACCAAAATGAAATTTCAATGCCAACAGGAGTGGTGTGCAAATATCTCAAGTTAGACTCTTTGGTGCATGGAGACCTGAAGTGACTAGGAGAGGACTACAAAGATTCTAGGAAACATAAACCACAGAATGTGTTTCCTGTTCATGACATAATCAAGGATGTTTTGTACGCAGATTTGAAATATCCAGAAAAGGTTTACTTTCCTCCTAAGAGTTTTGCACAGCAATACCCCATAGAAGAGGAATTCTCCTGGGTTGTTACCGTCTTAAGCCTCAGTATAAATAAGGGTTCTGGTAGAGGACTTGCCTGTGCATAAGGATGTTAAGGCTCCACTCAAGGTTGTGGTTGCCATGGTGATATGTCACTCAGGGTATTTCTAGATGGCTATGAACACTAGTCGTGTCAGATGGCCTATCGTTCCTACATCAGCTGGATGTGTTCCTGTCAGCCTTGCATTGTGTGGATGGAATGAGTGAAATGCTCCTGCAATTATTTCATATTGTACTTCTGTCTGTATAAATACAGAGAATCCTCTAGCTAAAATGTTTACATACTACACCATTCTGTAAGAAGGGATTGGAAATTATACCATTCAAAGAGGAATCCCTCTAGGGAGTCCTTGGATGCTTACATAAAGAAGGTGACAAGTGGAAAGAGTACTTTTCTGCACAGTAAGAAGAAAAGGGTCTCAATCGGTAAGCTGGGCCCCTCGGCACAGAAGAAGTCATCCATTGCCGCCCCCCCCCCCCCCCAGACATCTAAGGCCAAGGCTAAATAAGGTAAATCCTTTTAGCATAAGTCTTTGTCTTCTAGACCTTCCAAACTGGGTCCCAAGTCCTCTTCACAAATCAGGGGTGTCTCAGTTGTTCTCAGTGGGAGGACATTTGCAAGCCTTTGCAAACATACAGTCAGGTCCATAAATATTGGGACATGGACACAATTCTAACATTTTTGGCTCTATATACCACCACAATGGATTTGAAATGAAATGAACAAGATGTGCTTTAACTGCAGACTGTCAGCTTTAATTTGAGAGTATTTACATCCAAATCAGGTGAACGGTGTAGGAATTACAACAGTTTGCATATGTGCCTCCCACTTGTTAAGGGACCAAAAGTAATGGGACAGAATAATAAATAATAAATCAAACTTTCACTTTTTAATACTTGGTTGAAAATCCTTTGCAGTCAATTACAGCCTGAAGTCTGGAACGCATAGACATCACCAGACGCTGGGTTTCATCCCTGGTGATGCTCTGCCAGGCCTCTACTGCAACTGTCTTCAGTTCCTGTTTGTTCTTGGGGCATTTTCCCTTCAGTTTTGTCTTCAGCAAGTGAAATGCATGCTCAATCGCATTCAGGTCAGGTGATTGACTTGGCCATTGCATAACATTCCACTTCTTTCCCTTAAAAAACTCTTTGGTTGCTTTTGCAGTATGCTTTGGGTCATTGTCCATCTGCACTGTGAAGCGGCGTCCAATGAGTTCTGAAGCATTTGGCTGAATATGAGCAGATAATATTGCCTGAAACACTTCAGAATTCATCCTGTGCTTTTGTCAGCAGTCACATCATCAATAAATACAAGAGAACCAGTTCCATTGGCAGCCATACATGCCCACGCCATGACACTACCACCACCATGCTTCACTGATGAGGTGGTATGCTTAGGATCATGAGCAGTTCCTTTCCTTCTCCATACTCTTCTCTTCCCATCACTCTGGTACAAGTTGATCTTGGTGTCATCTGTCCATAGGATGTTGTTCCAGAACTGTGAAGGCTTTTTTAGATGTCGTTTGGCAAACTCTAATCTGGCCTTCCTGTTTTTGAGGCTCACCAATGGTTTACATCGTGTGGTGAACCCTCTGTATTCACTCTGGTGAAGTCTTCTCTTGATTGTTGACTTTGACACACATACACCTACCTCCTGGAGAGTGTTCTTGATCTGGCCAACTGTTGTGAAGGGTGTTTTCTTCACCATGGAAAGAATTCTTCGGTCATCCACCACAGTTGTTTTCCGTGGTCTTCCGGGTCTTTTGGTGTTGCTGAGCTCACCGGTGCGTTCCTTCTTTTTAAGAATGTTCCAAACAGTTGTTTTGGCCACGCCTAATGTTTTTGCTATCTCTCTGATGGGTTTGTTTTGCTTTTTCAGCCTAATGATGGCTTGGTTCACTGATAGTGACAGCTCTTTGGATCTCATCTTGAGAGTTGACAGCAACAGATTCCAAAT